TTTATCAAAAAGTGAATCTTTTTCCAAGCAGTTTATTTGAAAACAAAATGGTCAACATCAATTGACCATTGACTAGTAAAATTGATCTTGATACAGTTGATGGTTGCAATAGAAACAAAAGTAATTTAAAAAATTGGGTCATTTTTTGATATCATTTGCCCAATCAATTGTTGGACGATTTGGACAAAGTAAAGGATAAACAAGTGATTACATATTTTCAATAGGAATATTAAATTGGTAAAAATGGCGAGAAAATAATTGAACACAAATAATGTGTTCATGGATGGACATGAATTGCTACCAATCTGGATCAATAGTAATCATCATTATTCTTATGCATACAATCTTTCAACATTTTACTGGATCAACTTTTTTCTTCTCATCATCATCATAATCATCATTTCCATGGATGACAGTTGTAAATAAGCTTCAACTACAAATCCTTATTAATGGAGGTTCATCCAAGTAATACCAATAGCCAGACCATTATCAGCAACCAATTCAATGTGAGTATTTATGTACATTTATCTGTCTACTGGACATGAACTGAAACTATCATTTTTATCAGCTTCTTCAGCTTCATCATCTCATTCCGAGCTCTTTTATCTTCTCATTTTTTCGTCTTCTTTTTTCTTCTCTCTGTCTTTCCGTCTTCTCCATTTTCATCTTCGCCTTCCTGAATGTTCAGTCATACAACACTCAATCAATCTTTGTTTCAAGTTTTTTGTGTGTGAAAAGGATCTCAACAAGAACAGAAAATTGTATGATAAAGAGAAACAAGATGATTGGAAAGGAGCAAAAAAAATCCATCATCAAGTCAACTTTTTTTGTCTCTTCTTTGCTTCACCTCTTTTCATTCATCATTTTGTTGCTGGACAAAAGCCAGAGTCCAGTTGTAGACCTTTCGTCAAGATCCATTCCATAATTTAGTGTAAAGACAAGAAACTGAAAATTAACCTTCAAATTCAATCTTTTTCTTGGCCTTTTCTTCAAATTTCAATTTGCACCTTTTTGCTCAGCCAACCAAACTGAAATGCAATCAACTTTGAAAATGAAACTGATACAGGTAAAGGAATGACCAAAACTCAATCTTCATTTTAACCCACATAATTAACTGTTACAAGTTGAAAAGCAAAAATTAATCACGCACAATTTGGTTAACAGACTTTGGCTTAAACAAGCCTGAAAATTGAGCCTTCATATTGTTTACGCAGGTTGACCAATTTATGAACTGTTGAGTTCGATAAAAATGTTCAATTTTATTACTTTCATCTTCAGCCCTGGCAAGACAATAATAATGCAAAGAAGTGTCACAAGTCACACGAACGATTTCAATTATTAGTCAATTTTTGAGTCGCAAATGAAGAGACCGTTTGAAACGCCATTTACGTCTCTTGGTATACATAGATCAATGAGACAACCTATGGCATGAACCCATTGCGGTGAGCCTCTTCACTCTGCTTGGCTTGCAGTCTCATACTAACATGTAAAAAATTTGATAATGTTTTTCAAGTTTACCCTTCATTTGCGAAGCGAAAGACTTCGAGAAAATTGTATTTTTCATGGAACCTTTCAATGATGGAAAGATTGATGCACATGACTTGGGACACTTCCCTTGTCAGCCTTTGAAACTTTGACTCAGCTTGGTTAAGTTGGGTTAGGTTAGTCTAGCTTTGTCGAGCCTGGCAAGACATTGATTTTGACTAAACTTGAGTTTCAAGATTGTATCAGCATAAATGATTATCTTGCAAATTTAATGCCGACTAATGAGTTGAATGATATTAAAACTGGACCAATATATCATCTTAAATTGCTGTAAGCAGCTAATCAGTTTATAGCTTTCCATGATAACCTCATGAAAAGATTGAAACATGAAAAGACTAAAAAATAAATGATTAAAAGTATAGATATTGACAAGATAATCAATAATGCTTTTCGCCTTTATTTTTGCTTCTTTTTTTATTCTCATCTTTTTTCTTCTTCTTCTTGAAAACATTTCCGTTTCCCTGATAATGATGATGATTGAGAGAGGGAGGAGGAAGGATAAAGATGACGATAAAAGAGATGAAGAGGAAAATAAAAGTTACATCAATAAGTAACTGTAAATCAATGAATTCCAAGTGAATCACTTCTTGTTCTTGTTCACAATTTATTCTGGTATTCAATGATAATCAATTTCTCGACTGGACAATTGTTCCTAACATGTTCTTAGAACTGACTTTACATTATCGAACCATTGATTGAACCAATCGATAATGAAACTAATGCAAAGACTGATGACAGTAAATGATGAAAGTACAAAATGTTAAAATGGACTTAAAAAGAGATTGAAAATTTAAATGTTGACATTTTTTTCAGCCACAAATTGTTAGCATATATTTACATGATGAATACATTGAACATGTTTCATTTGAATGGCTTAACATGGTGAACAAGTTTCTCCTGTCAAAGGTTGAAGGTTCAATAAATCGTCAGAATAAGTCTTATTAGTATGCTTTTCACTGAATTCACAGCATTTCACCGAATCAAGAGTTTCACTGAGTTTTCCTGTCAATTTCAAGAGTCTGTTCATAAGGCATCATTTTGCCGCTATTATGACAAGAGAGTCAACTGGTAAGATGATAATGATGAGAGCAGAAAGCAAATAAGAGTTGATTTGATTCTAATAAATTACACTTTTCATCTGGATTCCCGGTTGGTTTGGATTGATTAAGAATGTGTGAAAATGTTGGTAATGAGAAGAGGATGATCAAGATTATGGACTTGAGGTGAAGAGAGTAAAGATGAGAAAAGATGAGAAAAGACTTCTCTTGCCATTTTCACCTTCATCCTGGTATCGATTGATGAGAAGTGATACAAGAAACTTTGACTGGAAAAAGTGTTCACTTCACATCTCAAGAGATGATGATTAAAGCCTAAAGCAGGGAATAACATGGTTTCATGAAAGGAAAAGTGAATTTTCAGAGTCAGTCATCATTTAAAAAAAAAATCCACCTAAATAACAGGTTCCATCAGATGAACAAAAAAAAAGGTAAACACACGAAGAGTAGGTTTGATTCAGTTGATGATTCCTTGGGTTTCACATTGTAACCATACATTATCAATAAAGTTATGCTTCTAGGTGTTGCTGGTTCATTCAAATTTCATCCAATTCATTTCATTTACCATACAATTCAAGATTATTGTTTCTTATTGTCACTGTAGCAAAGAACCTGAAAAATGAACCCAATTTTTTAAACATTTGTTTTGCCATTAAGAAGACCAGAAATTATGTTTTGGTTTCAATTATCAGGCAAAATGTTTCATCACTCAACTGTTCACTTTGTATTGATCAGAGACTTGAAAGGCAATTTAAACTTTTACTTCAATAATTTATTCACATGCAATTCAATTTACTTTTAGATTTGGCTTAAATTCACTTTTTGTATTCTGGTTAAATTGTATTATTGAACATTTTATTTCATTTTTTTTCTGACTCTCATCTTCAATAATACAGTCACAATGAGATGTAATATTTACATATTTACCAAGCCAAAAAAGACATCAACTTGATGTAATATACTTATTGTTATTTCACTTGTATTAGATGGATATTGTACATGTTTACATGGGTTTTTGTTTGTTGGACTGTATTTCATCTGTATGTTCATCATGTAACAGATGAGTCTTGGTGTGTCTGAATCATGAAGATAATGGTGAACGAGTGTTTATAAAGCAAAAAGCAATCACTTCTATCTACTTATTTGCATTACTCTCTCTTCCAACTTACCTGTTAACCTAGAAATGGTGAAAATAAAAAAAAAGGTAACCCAAAAATTGTGCTCAAAAACAGCTCAGTAAACATTTGATTTGCATTATGGTGATATTACATTGTGTATGGTAAGGTAAAGAGATAAAATCATTGCCTGATTGAATGAAAATGTGAAAATAAGTAAATATCTAAATTTTACATTTTTTTGTTGCTTTATTTATATTCCTTTTTATTTCTTTCATTTTAAATATTAATCAGTAAAGTATTATTCTGGTAAACGTACATGTTATAAATGGTTAGAGCAAGGTATGGTTAAGATGGATGACTTGTGCAAGGTTTGTGTAACTGTTACAGCTGTTTAACTTTGATAACTTTCATGATTGTAAATTACATGGTCGTCATTTAGTCTCAATTTAAATTGTCTGGTTGGTAAATCAATCAAAGTGTAAGCTTTACATAAGGTCTTGGTGTTAGAGGATTTGGTGTTTACAGCTGAAAGACTTTCACTTCTTACCTTGGTATATATATTTTGGACCGGTTAATCTCTTTGACATTAAGTTGACAATATTGATTAGTTGACTCAAATTATGGTTAACAGTATGTTAGGTTAACAGTGATTAACTTACCAGTAAAAGGTGAGAGATGAGATAGAAGGTACGTTAGGACATAATCACTTGCAGTCCACACTGGTCCATATGAGATGTTAACAAAGTGAATCCAGGAAAACACTGTGGTGTTGGTGTAAACATGCAAATCTGGTAACAAATGATGAACACTTCTTTTTGTTTTTAATTAACTTCTCAAGTGTGGGTTAATCATCTGGATCCCGAGGAATGATAACAAGTTGGAAGAGGGTTTTGAACGAAAAAAGGGAGGCAAGAAGACTAGAAGAAGAGGAAGAAGAAGAAGAGGAAAGAAAAAGAAGTGTTTGTAGATTTAGATTTTACTCTGTTCCATGTTGAAAGGCAATCAAATAACTGAATATAAAAGCATGTTTAAGGAAAGAGGAAGAATGAAAGAATCGACTCAGATGATAATTCAGCCTTTTCATCCTTTTTTCATCATCTTCTTCATCTTCTGTTCATCATCTTTGCATCAATTTTTGTCAATTTGGTTGATCTTTAAAATTGTCTGTTTTCCTCTCGCTAGATGGAGCCCTTTAAGGGAGTAAAAAAGCAACTGTAAATGTATTGATTTTAGAGACTCGTCTTTGAATCACAATTTTTAGGTCATGTTTTCATTTTATTGAAATCTGTTTTTGCCTTCTTCATGATTGTAATTTGATTACAAATCATTGTATTGTTCACAATTATCTACATTTGGTGCTATCTTTTAGCCATTTCATTGGCTTTAAGTTTAAAAAATTGAGTCTATTTATAGAGAAAATGCTCTGTTTTAATTCAACTCTTTTTTTCATTGTTGGTTAGCTGTTTTGTTGTGTCTGGCTGTCAGTTATGTCTCAGCCAGTAAATACATTGCTTTTTGTTTTTACTACAGTTTTCACACTTAAAAAAGGTCGTTTTAAATTTACCTTTTCTCTCTTGTCTCTCATCAATTCACCTTTACCCAATTTAAATCAATTGTTCACAGGTTAAATGATCACACGCTGATCTATGCCTATTTTGTTGACTCCAATGAATTATACTAAATCTGATGAAGATCGACGTCGACGGACCATTATTGTAGAGAGGAAAAATTCATCTTTTGGTTTTACATTACAAGTAAGTTTTGTCCTTTTCAACACATTTTAAATCAATGTATCTAAAATGTATCTTGATTCGTCAACCCTGTTTGTGATTTGCTTGCCTAAATGTGTTGAATTTATAATCTCACATTCATCATGTGAACTAGTTAATTTGTTTATTTTTTATCTTCATCAAATGTCATCCTAGTTCTGGCAATCAAAATATTTTTGTTGATATCATTCTTTTTGTTTTGCTTTAATTTCATTTGCAAACTATTTTGTTTACATGAAATTTGTTTTGCTGAAATTTTCTTTTCTTCCCTTGAGCCTTTATCATTTGCTTCAAATATTTTGGTACCTTTTTTAAAATTACATTTTTAACATTTTTCTTTCTCTTTTTCTTCTCTCTTCTAGACTTATGGTATTCATCACCGTAAAGATGGAGAAATTGAATTGCTAACATATGTTGATTATGTTGACAAAAATGGCCCAGCATTTAAAGCAGGTATGAGACCTGGGGATGTGATTTTATCCATAAATGGTCGAGATATGGAAAGAGCTGATCATCGTACACTAGTAAAATATATACAAAGCTGTGAAAAAACAATGCGAATGGTTGTTCTTTTCGAAGACTGTGTCCGTAAAGTAGAGCTTCATATAAAATATTTAAAGTTGAAGGTAATTTGAAAGTATTAAGAATTAAATTTAGCTAAATTTACTATTGTGTCACAAATCAACCTTTGTAAACCTTAATCTGATAACTTCTTCTCTCGATTTATTCACAGCGTTTGCTTCACCAAAAGGTAGCAGAATATGAAAGATTATCTGAAAGAGAAAACCAATTAAGCCTGCATTTAAAGAAATCTCAATCAGAAGATTCTGGACTCCATCTTGATGATGTAAAATTAAAAAGTCAAGGATCTTTTACTACATCTGGAGCAAAGTTGGCAGGATCCTCTGTTGAAAATTCATCATCTCCGGGTTTGGTCGCATGCAAGAGCCTTGAATCAAATCTCAACTTTAATCCTGTTCATTAAGCTACATCATACATTATTGATTTTGATATTAATTATTTACTCTTGAAATTGATTAGACTATTAAAAGGTCATCTCAAAATGTATCCTAATCTATTGAAATCAATACCAATAATAAAATGCAATCAATTTATAGCGAATCTTCAGCAAAATTTCAGCAGTTGGTCAATTTTTCACCAATGATTAGGAATTATGATAAATCTATTAATCAAGAATTTTCTGGAAACGTAAAAGAAAGTTTAATTTACTTTAGCGTTAACGGCGGCAAGATAAACGTAAGAATCTGGATGAGACTAAGACACGCTTTGATGAGAGTAAACAGCTCAGACTTGTGAAGCAATCACTTTTGTCAAATAAACATTGCAAGTTTTGAGAGATAATAATTCATCGCTGGTTAACTGAAACGAGAATCGCAACAATTTTAATCAACATCGATTGCAATAGGTCTGGTTAGACTTAAAGTGAAATGAAAATTAGGGCGCAAATTCGTAGGTCCTAACACATTACCAAACAGCTTTGACAACTTATTTATTTCGATTATCATGAAATTTTCCTAGTTAGCGTGTTTGTATTCCTGGCAACGATAATAATGAAATAAATTATTTTGAAAGAACAAGGAATGTTATGAGTAAAAAAGATTGAAAGAAATTTTATTAATGATTTTAAACTTTAAAAACAGTCTATTAAATGTCGTTGATTATAGCACTTTTTTATGAGCCTTTTTTTGAAAAATGTATTGCACTAATACCAGTGCAGCACATTAATACGTTTAAAACGAGTATAAGTTTGTTTGTTGTTGAATGAAATTTCGACTGTTTACTCTAAAATTGTTAAGGGTAGTTTTTATATGGACAACCAACATTTGAATCTTGTGTAAAACATCGATATAAGAGCCCCATATCTCAGGATATTTACTGCTTCCAATTTGATTGCACTTATTTATAATATTTGAAGCGAATTGTTCTCGAGAAAAGTTCATGGTTAAAAGATATAAAATAACCAATGGAATATCATCTAAAGTCATATTCAAACGCTTTAGATCTCGACCTGTTTGGAATAGTTGAAAACGAAGACTGGAAAATACTGATCCTTTTAGATGATCTTCCGTGATTTGTTGTCCAGTTGGCCATAAAAGCGATGCTGAGTCAGTATCAAAATGCAAAAGAGTAAATAAAATCAAAATTGGATGAGCAGCATCTCTAACTCCAGAATATTGAGAGTCGATCGGTAAAGAAGCAAATGGAGGAAGCTTTGACTCGAAATAGATGAGCTTGTTTGATATTTTAAGATGAAATACAACATATGATAAATAGAATGGATCACAAAAATCCTCCATTATTTGTAGTCCAGTTGGCCATAAAAGGGATGTAGAGTCAGTTTCAAAATGCAAAAGAGTAAGTTTGTTGAACATATTTTCCATGCTATTGGCTTTGGATGCCCTTTCAAGACTATCTTCATTAGCCTTATTCAAACAGATATCTGGGTTCATACCGATTGCAAGACATCTTCTCAATCGACAAGCTCGACAACATTTACGTCGATTGTTAGCATCTACTAGACAATCATTGTTGTTGGATTTGCATGCATATTTCATTCCTTTCATCACCGATCGACGGAAAAATCCTTTACAACCTTCGCATGTGAAAGCGTTATAATGACGTCCAGTAGATTTGTCGCCACAAACTTGACATAATTTCAAAGCTGAATCATTTTTTTCAGCTAAAATACATGTAAATAAAGAAAAATGAGTCTGACTTTAAAAAGTGTTTCAAATATAAAAGTGAACAGTAAACTAAAATTTTCACTTACCTTCAGTTATTGCATTATAAGATTTATCATTATTTTGCGACCCATCTATAACTAATTTACGTTCATCGTAATCGTCATCATCATCATCATCATCATCATCATCATCTTCGTCCTCATCTTCGTCCACACCATTTTCCATTTGTTGGTCACTTGGTCGATTAACAAGATCTGTAGAGACATCATAATCACCTTTCGTTCAGTTGACCCTTGTCATGGAGGACAGCTTTCACCACGATGCTCATTTCAATCTCAAAAGTATTGAAGAGCGATTGGATCGCTTTGAAAGTAAATATAAAAAAAAAATTGAAGGTAAGTTCTATTATTCAATACATTCCATCTTATTAATTTTGCTTTTGTAAATTTTCAGGTAATATAATTATTAGACTCCTGTCGTTTTGTGGAGAAAAAAATATGAATGCAAATGATACTAAGTCTGTTGCCAGGGACTTATCGTACATTTTAATTCAAAAAAATGGACTTTTGAGTTTTATTCAAGCCACTTGTGATTTGGAAAACTCATCGGAAATAAAAACAACTTTTGATCAGCGTTTTCGTGCAATAAGTTTTATTATTGCTAACATGCCTGCTATTTGTTGTGACAAAGATGATTTTTATTCTAGTCTGTCTAGGCAAGTTATTTTGATATTAACTACATTATCAAAAGGTGATGCTGACAAACAAACAATCAAATTAGCAAGCTACATATTTATCGCCCTTTACAACAAAAAACAATCACTGGGTAAAGCTAAACTCATAAAACCCATAACGGATGCAATTTGTTGTAAAGAAAGCTATTTAACACTGACGCAAAGCATAATTTGTATCCATCATCTTATCCTGAGTGATTTTGATAAAAATCAATTCATTCCTGTTTTCCCAAACATATTAGCTATCAACACAATTTTATATGAAACCGTGTCTCCGATTAAAAGGGCCGCTAAAGAAATTGTCATCGATATCCTCAAATATGTGGATCAGTCTACATACATATTGGCTACCTCTATATTCAATCTTCAAATTTCAATTAATTTATATTCAACTGGATTGGTTAAGATAGGAAACGAAGAAATGCTAACTGTTATTCCTAGCAACTTAAATTATGTATCTGTGGATGATGCCAAATTTTTGGATAAAACGGTTACTGCAATAACATCCATTCTCGATGACTTGGGTAATGAATTTAAATTGGACTTTTTTTTGATTTTGGTTGAAAAAGTGCATCTTTCGCATTTCAATCAAATGGTTTTATTTTCATTGGTGGATGCACTGCAAGAGCAAGTTTCAAACTGGATTCTAGATTATCCAAATAAAGCCATTCAATTTCTCACCAATACACTGCGAAGAATCACTTCGGAAAGCAACGATTCCATTCAATCTTTGATGGACCAAGAAGAAGAACAAATTTTAGAAAAATCTAAATTGTTGCAGATGGACTCACTTTCGATGTTGATACAAATTGTTTCGATTCTCGTGGAAGCAAAAGATAAGGTAAGCCATTTAAGACTTTGATGTTAAATGATGACTTTATGCTATTTTATGAAATTTTATGCTAAAGTATTATAAATTAAACTTTCTTTTGCTTTACAGTTAACCAGCGAAGAATTATTATCTCTCAAAACTTGCAATGTTTATTTGACAAAAGTGGTTGCTTCAGAACTCTTATCGAAATCGGAGCAGTTGAAAATTCAAAGCCTGGTCGATGAAATCAATCATCTACATGAAACCACAAAACACTCAAAAATTGACAACGAGGATAGATTTGCAGAAGCTGTACGTTGCCTCAATAGTAATTTTATGCCACAAAGAGCCCATGGTTTAGTAATTCTTCGTAATTTAATTGATGCACAGCATCAAAGTACAATTGATCACAAGTCTGAGCTTTTTACTCTCATCAAAGCTTGTCTAAGTGATCCAGATTCTTACGTTTATCTTGCCGCCGTTAACGCTTTAGCATCTTTAGCATTGGCACACACAGAGAGCTGTCTTCCTACTCTGATTGAGGCTTATCATGACAGGGACAGATCAGTTAGAGAAAGGGTTTCAGTTGGTGAATCTCTGGTCTGGGTCTGTAAATACTTAGGTAAGTTGAAATAATAATAATGCTTTCTAACCAAAAATAATTTTTGACTTTCATTATCTCTTAAATTTCTTCAGGTCAATTAGCTCATCATTACCATCGTCTAGTGGTAGACTGTTTTCTTACTGGATTAAGAGATGAAAACGAGTCCATCAGAGTTTCAAGTCTTTCCAATTTGGGTCAATTTTGCTCTTCCCTGAAAAACGCTCTCAGTTATTGCATTATCGAGATAGTCTGTGCTGTTGAATGTCTCCTCAAAACGGATTCCAGTTTAGATGTTAAAAGAGCTTGTCTTATGTTTGTGTATATCATGTTGAATGGTATTGATAATGCTGAGGTATGTGCAACGGATTTATCACAATTAAAACGTCAGCTAATTAATTATCTATTATTTGCTCTGATCCACAGGTTATTCTTGACCACCTCAAACAGATCTATCATATTATTAAATCAATCGACTCGAAAAGTCTGGGTGATGATATTATTCGAGTTCACGCACATCTAGCTTTGGAAGCCATTGATAATCTAATGAAAAAATTAATTAAACCTGAAAATGATCTCATAAGACCAATCAAAATGAATTGATTGGTACTTTTGTATTCTTTGTATATTCATTATGTATCATATCCATGTTTCAGTGGAGTACCAGATAATGTCAGTAAATTTTTCAATAGCCCTCAAACCCTTTGTTTTGATGTCCTTTGAAATTTTTGCACAATGTACGTATTTTAATATACATTTATTCTATAGTTTGATTAAAAATTTGAAAAGTTTTAGACACAAAAGCTAAGCGCTAGTCAAAAAATGCTTCAATGCTGATATTACTTTGAAATATAATGTTAATATTGGTGATGAACAATACTTTTAATGAAATTTCGGCTGTTAAGTCCAAAATTGTTAAGTGCAGTTTTTATATGGACAACCAACATTTGAATCTTGTGTATAACATCGAGAGGAGAGCCCCATATCTCAGGATATTTACTGCTTCCAATTTGATTGCACTTATTTATAATAGTTGAAGCGAATTGTTCTCGAGAAAAGTTCATGGTTAAAAGATATAAAATAACCAATGGAATATAATCTAAAGTCAGATTCAAACGCTTTAGATCTCGACCTGTTTGAAATAGTTGAAAACGAAGACTGGAAAATACTGATCCTTTCAAATGACCCTTCATTATTTATTGTTCAGTTGTTCATGCATATTTCATTCCTTTCATCACCGATCGACGAAAATCCTTTACAACCTTCGCATGTAAGTATTATAATGACGTCCAGTAGATTTGTCGCCACATACTTGACATAATTTCAAAGCTGCATCATTCTTTTCAGCTAAAATACATGATAATAAAAAAATGAGTCTTACTTTAAAAACTGTTTCAAATATAAAAGTGAGCAGTAAAACTAAATTTTCATTTACCTTCAGTTATTGCCACTTTCCCTGGTTCAGCTTAAGACTGTGGCAGCTGCTTCAACATACAGTAAAGTACCAAATACAACTGTAATTGTTGTAAATTAAAAATACAGTAAGTTAAGTTGGTCTTAAGCAAGCCACCAGTCTTAAGCTGAAGCAAGGAAAGTGTTTCTGCTCGGAAAATAGACTCTACGGAAGTTTTGCCTGACTTACTATTCCAAGTATATTCTTCATTCTTTCATCTGCTAAGAACTAATTTTTAATATTTGTGAATCGCCTTTTGCTCAGTTGACCCTTGTCATGGAGGACATTAATCCTGATCCGCACTTCAATCTCAAAAGTATTGAAGAAAGATTGGATCGTATTGAAAAAGAAACAAGGCCGAACACATGTGGGAAAAAATTGAAGGTAAGTTTTATGATTCAATTCATTCCATCATATTAACTTTTCATTTTTATATTTGCAGGTAATATAGTTTTTAGACTCCTGTCGATTTTTAGCTACAACAAAGAAATGAATGATGAAGATTTTAAGTCTGTTGCCGAAGACTTATCATACGTTTTAATTAAAAAAAATGGACTTTTGAAATTTATCCTAGCCACCCTTGTCGACACCTCATTCGAAACTGTAGAAACTATGGACCAACGTTTTCGTGACTTAAGTTATATAGTTACTAACGTGCCTGCTATTTATTGTGATCCAGATGATTTTTTTGGAAGTCTGTGTAAGCAAGTTATTTTGATATTATCAACAGGTTATGCTGACAGACAAATAGAGCAATTAGCAACTTACATATTTATCGCCCTTTATGAGAAAAACCAATCATTTGGTAAAGCCGAAACCATGAAACCCATAACGGATGCAATTTGTTGTAAAGAAAGCTATTTAACGCTGACCCAAAGCATTATTTGTATCCATCGGCTTATCGATTTGAGTGATTTTGATAAACATCCGTTCATTCCTGTTTTCCCAAACATATTAGCTATCTATACTCTTTTATTTGAAACCGCGTCTCCGATTGCAACTGCCGCTAAAGAAATTGCCATCGATATCCTTAAATATGTGGATCAGTCTAAATACATATTGGATGCCTCTTTATACAATCTTAAAAATTCAATTAATTTATATTCAACTGGATTGGTTAAGATAGGAGATGACGAAATGATAACTGTTATTCCTAACAGCAACTTAAATGATGTATCTATGGATGATGACAGAGTTCTAGATGTAATGGTTGCTGCAATATCAGCCGTTCTCGATGAGTGTCGTGATGAATTAAAATTGGACATTTATTTGATTTTGTATGAGAAAGGGCATCTGCCTAGTTTAAATGCCTTGGTTTGCATTTCATTGGCGGATCCAATGAAACAGGATCTTCCATCCCATATTAGAGCGCATCCAAATAAAGCCATTCCATTTCTCACCAGTGTTCTTCGAAGAATCACTTCGGATAGCAGTGGTTCAATTCAATCTATGATGGAAACGAAGAATATGCAAGAAGAGATACAATCTGTGCAAGAGAATAAAATGCTGGATATAAAAATATTTTCGGGTTGGGTTCAAGCTGTTTTGAATCGCTTCGACGTAAAAGATAGGGTAAGCCATTTAAGACTTTAATGTTCATTTTATGATAAACTAAAAGTTATCTTTTAGTTTCAGTTAACTGGCGAAGAATTATTATTACTCAAAATTTGCAAAGTTTATTTGACAAAAGTGGTTGCTTCAATACTCTTATCCAAATCGGAGCCGTTGAAAATTCAAAGACTGATCGGTGAAATCAATCATCTACATGAAACTACAAAACACTCAAAAATTGACCCCGAGGATAAATTCGCAGAAGCTGTACACCGCCTCAAGAGTGAGTTTATGCCACAAAGAGCCCATGGTTTAGTAATTCTTCGTAATTTAATTGATGCACAGTATCAAAATACAATTGGTTCCAAGTGTGAGCTATTTACTCTCATCAAAGCTTGTCTAAGTGATCCAGATTCTTACGTTTATCTTGCCGCCGTTAACGCTTTAGCATCTTTAGCATTGACACACACAGAGAGCTGTCTTCCTACTCTGATCGAGGCTTATCATGACAGGGACAGATCAGTTAGAGAAAGGGTTTCAGTTGGCGAATCTCTGGTCTGGGTCTGTAAATACTTAGGTAAGTTGAAATAATAACTTCTAACCAAAAATAATTTTGACTTTCATTAGCTCTTAAATTTCTTCAGGTCAATTAGCTCATCATTACCATCGTCTAGTGGTAGACTGTTTTCTTACTGGATTAAGAGATGAAAACGAGTCCATCAGAGTTTCAAGTCTTTCCAATTTGGGTCAATTTTGCTCTTCCCTGAAAAACGCTCTCAGTTATTGCATTATCGAGATAGTCTGTGTTGTTAAATGTCTCCTCAAAACGGATTCCAGTTTAGATGTTAAAAGAGCTTGTCTTATGTTTGTGTATATCATGTTGAATGGTATTGATAATGCCGAGGTATGTTCAACGCATTTTTGATGATTGAAACGTCAGCTAATTAATTATCTATTATTTGCTCTAATCCACAGGTTATTCTTGATCACCTCAAACAGATCTATCATATTATTAAAGCAATCGACTTCAAAAGTCTTGGTGATGAAATCATTCGAGTTCACGCACATCAGGTTTTAAAAGCCATTGATAATGTAATGAAAAAATTAATTACTGACACTATCAGTCTGAAAGTATCTGATATTCACCTGTAATTATGTAATATTTCATTAAAAATATGAAATTTTCTAAAAGTAAACAAATTTGAATACAAATTCATTCTATAGTTTGATTAAAAATTTGAAAAATAACCAATAATGAACTGATTTAATTACAAACTGTAGCAGCAAACAACTGTAGTGTTTTCAACATCCTCCATTTAAAGTGTAATAGATCAGTGTGTTTCTTATTTCGTGTATTTGCCTTTTCAATTGTGGAAACGTTCATCTTCATTTCACTTTTCGTTAAGCCTAAACCATAATAAACTGGATTTACTGTAATATTGTAAATGATTTTTTTCGTATATAATAAATTAATGGTAAACCTTGATGAGTTTATCAACGTGATTAACAGAAATGAATACATTAAAAGGCTGAAAAGACTTAATTCCCAATTCACCAAAAAATCAACACCTAAATCATTGAGTTCACCCGTTCAGCCGTTAAGTCCAAAATTGTTAAGTGCAGTTTTTATATGGACAACCAACATTTGAATCTTGTGTATAACATCGAGAGGAGAGCCCCATATCTCAGGATATTTACTGCTTCCAATTTGATTGCACTTATTTATAATAGTTGAAGCGAATTGTTCTCGAGAAAAGTTCATGGTTAAAAGATATAAAATAACCAATGGAATGTCATCTAAAGTTATATTCAAACGCTTTAGATCTCGACCTGTTTGAAATAGTTGAAAACGAAGACTGGAAAATACTGATCCTTTTAAATGACCCTTCATTATTTATTGTTCAGTTGTTCATGCATATTTCATTCCTTTCATCAACGATCGACGGAAAAATCCTTTACAACCTTGTCATGTAAGTATTATAATGACGTCCAGTAGATTTGTCGCCGCATACTTGACATAATTTCAAAGCTGCATCATTTTTGAATAAAATACATGTAAATAAAAAAGCAATTTAAAATTACTTTAAAAAGTGTTTCAAATATAAAAGTGAGCAGTAAAACTAAATAACTTAAATGCATGATAATATTAATCATTATTTACCATCTACGACTAATTTACGTTCATCGTAATCCTGATCATCATCTTCGTCTTCGTCCTCGTACTACTCATTTGCTATTTGTTGGTCACTTGGTCGATTAACAAGATCTGTAGAGACATCATTATTATTTGAAAATGAGTTTAAATGGTGGATCACCGGCCTCTGGTCAATCTGATCAGAATCATAGTTGCTCCAACAACTTGGTTGATGATAATTTATTGGACTGTCCCATGCAAATTGACCACTGGAGGAGCTGCTGGCTTGATTGCAGTCTTCAATAGGCAGTGGAGTAGTTACATAATTAACAGGATGGTCAGAGTAATCATAATTAACTGGGTCAACAAGTATAACTGTATATCGAGAGCTTTCCATTACTCGCTAGAAAATATATATTTTTTGTCAAACAGAATAAAGTCAAAAAATGGAATGCGAAGTCAAAATAAATAAAAGAGATGCAAAGAACGGTTTGAACTTTGATATAATTTCAACTATTTCATCATGGGACACAAAATGGCTCGGACAGACCACCCCTTACTGCCTCTTAGAAGTGTCAGTTAATATCACAAAACTAAAGTCTATGTAAAAAGATACATTACAATAGTGAACTTTTACCTCATTAGCCATAAAATAATAATATTACGTCAGAACGTAGTCGCCAATCACTTGCCTCCATTACCCTTGCCTTTGTTCTTTGTTTCTTATCAGAGAAAGAAAAGTAAAGAATTACTGTCGCCTTGCTGTCTACTACATTTTACAATACAATTTGATACTTTTTACAAAACTCTTGGTCTTTTACTCTTTGGTCGCAAGCCACCAGTCTTAAGCTGAAGCAGGGAAAGTGTTTTTGCTAGGAAAATAGACTCTACGGACGTTTCGCCTGACTTACCATTTCAAAGTACCGGTATATTCTTCATTCTTTCATCTGCTAAGAATAAATTTTTAATATTTGTGAATCGCCTTTTGCTCAGTTGACACTTGTCATGGAGGACAATAATCCTGATCCGCACTTCAATCTCAAAAGTATTGAAGAAAGATTGGATCGTATTGAAAAAGAAACAAGGCCGAAAAAAATAGAAGGTAAGTTTTATGATTCAACTTATTATTCAACATATTAACTTTTCATTTTTATATTTGCAGGTAATATAATTTTTAGACTCCTGTCGATTTTTAAAAACAACAAAGAAATGAATGATGAAGATTTTAAGTCTGTTGCCGAAGACTTATCATACGTTTTAATTCAAAAAAATGGACTTTTGAAATTTATCCAAGCCACCCGAGTCGGCAGCTCATCAGAAATTGCAACAACTTTGCACCAACGTTTTCGTGGGTTAAGCTATATAATTACTAACATTCCTGCTATTTATTGTGATCCAGATGATTTTTATGGAAGTCTGTGTAAGCAAGTTATTTTGATATTATCAAAAGGTGATGCTGACAAACAAACATGGAAATTAGCAACTTACATATTTATCGCCCTTTATGAGAAAAACCAATCATTTGGTAAAGCCAAACTCATAAAACCCCTAACGGATGCAATTTGTTGTAAAGAAAGCTATTTAACGCTGACCCAAAGCATTATTTGTATCCATCGGCTTATCCTGAGCGATTTTGATAAAAATCAATTCATTCCTGTTTTCCCAAACATATTAGCTATCTATACAACTTTATGTGAAATCGTGTCTCCGATTAAAAGTGCCGCTAAAGAAATTGCCATCGATATCCTTAAATATGTGGATCATTCTAAATACATATTGGATGCCTCTTTATACAATCTACAAATTTCAAGTAATTTATATTCAACTGGATTGATAAAGTACGAAAACGAAGAAATGCTAACTGTTATTCCTAACAGCAACTTAAATGATGTATCTATGGATGATGACATAGTTATAGATAAAATAGTTACTGCAATATCATTCATTCTCGATGAGTTGGGTGTTGAATTTAAATTTGACTTTTTTTTGATTTTGTATGAGAAAGGGTATCTCCCGTATTTCAATACCTGTGTTTGCGCTTCATTGGCGGCGCCAATGCAAGAGCAAATATCAAGCTTCATGATAAATCAAGTCATTCAATATCTCACCAGCAATCTTCGAAGGGTCACTTCGGATAGCAATGATTCAATTCAATCTATGATGGAAACGAAGAATATGCAAGAAGAGATACAATTTATGAAAGAGACTAAAATAATGGATATGGAAAACTCGTGGATGTTGGTTCAACTTGTTTCGATTCGCATCGATGTAAAAGATAAGGTAAAGCCATTTAAGACTTTAATGTTCATTTTATGATAAACTTAAAGTTTTCTTTTAGTTTCAGTTAACCGGCGAAGAATTATTATTACTCAAAATTTGCAAAGTTTATTTGACAAAAGTGGTTACTTCTGAACTCTTATCGAATTCGCAGCGATTGGACATTCAAAGACTGATCGGTGAAATCAATCATCTACATGAAACTACAAAACACTCAAAAATTGACAACGAGGATAAATTCGCAGAAGCTGTAAACCGCCTCAAGAGTGAGTTTATGCCACAAAGAGCCCATGGTTTAGTAATTCTTCGTAATTTAATTGATGCACAGCATCAAAGTAAAATTTATCACAAGTCTGAGCTGTTTACTCTCATCAAAGCGTGTCTAAGTGATCCAGATTCTTACGTTTATCTTGCCGCCGTTAACGCTCTAGCATCTTTAGCATTGGCACACACAGAGAGCTGTCTTCCTACTCTGGTTGAGGCTTATCATGACAGGGACAGATCACTTAGAGATAGGTTTTCAGCTGGTGAATCTCTGGTCTGGGTCTGTAAATACTTAGGTAAGTTGAAATAATAATAATACTTTCTAACTAAAAATAATTTTGACTTTCATTATCTCTTAAATTTCTTCAGGTCAATTAGCTCATCATTACCATCGTCTAGTAGTAGACTGTTTTCTTACTGGATTAAAAGATGAAAACGAGTCCATCAGGGTTTCAAGTCTTTCCAATTTGGGTCAATTTTGGTCTTTTCTGAAAAACGCTCTCAGTTATTGCATTATCGAGATAGTCTGTGTTGTTGAATGTCTCCTCAAAACGGATTCCAGTTTAGATGTTAAAAGAGCTTGTCTTATGTTTGTGTATATCATGTTGAATGGTATTGATAACCCCGAGGTATGTGCAACAGATTTTTCACAATTGAAACGTCAGCTGATTAATTATCTATTATTTTCTCTAATCCACAGGTTATTCTTGATCACCTCAAACAGATCTATCATATTATTAAAGCAATCGACTACAAAAGTCTTGGTGATGAAATCATTCGAGTTCGCGCACATCAGGTTTTAGAAGCCATTGATAATTTAATGAAAAAATTAATTACTGACACTATCAGTCTGAAAGTATCTGATATTCACCTGTAATTACGTAATACTTCTTGATATTTCATAATAAATATGAATTTTCTAAAAGTAAACAAATTTGAATACAAATTCATTCTATAGTTTGATTAAAAATTTGAAAAATTTTGACCAAAAAGCTAAGCGCTAATCAAAAAACGCTTCAATGCTGACATTACTTTGAAATAAAGACTCTGTGTTTACCATATCTCTATTAAAAGAAAGCATAAGGCGACAAGAAAGGTCTTTAGTTAGATATGGATTAATTTTGAATTTATGATTACTAGATATATGCGATTCTTATTTCGTGTATTTGCCTTTTCAATTGTGGAAACGTTCATTTTTAACCCAATTATTGAATGCCGTTAATTTGTAGCAATTATCTTATTTAAATGATGAATCTGTTTAACAAATTATCATTTTAGAAACAAAAGAAAGTGTTTCCTTTTTTGAAAAACAAAACTGTAAACATTTGATGGTTTCAACCGCAAATTGAAACATTATTCATAGTTGTATGTACATGTTATTAATAGTAATTGGTTAACTACAATTAGTGCAAACTATTAGCTACACTTGAAACTGTTAGTAGATGGAAAGGCATCAATTTTACACTAATCATGATATTAGAGATGAAAATAATAAAATAATAATAGGAGTAGTAATGGAAAGATAGGCCTAAATGTAATATGCAGATAAATGGAGAAGCAGCAGTCCAACTGTTAAAGCACATGTTTTAATTTTGGCACCGTTAAACTTTCATTCACATTTAAATGCTATTACAACAATTATTGTAACAATAATAAGATCAAGTTAACCGTTTAAAGATGCTTAAGATGAGAGCGGGCCACACAAGTATACATTAGTGACAATTATTAGCTTAGTTTTAGCCATTTCAGGCCTAAGATGTTGCTGTTCTTGTTGTCTTTAACCATTAGTTAACCACTTTTTTAACAAAACTGAAACAACAATTTATTATTAACAACACAAATCATGACGATTATAATGAATTAATGATGAAACAATAAGAATAGATTGATAATGGTAAAGATGAAAGTTGTTATCCAAAAAAACTGGTGATCAGAGTAAAAACAAAAGCCAATCAAGTTGCCAGATTGTTTGCGGTCAGTTTAAAAATTATAAACTGTTTTTTTTTGTGTGAATTTAATGAATTTTTCTTGAAAAATTAGTTAATTTAAGTGAGATAATGATAATTATAATCACAAACATATAAATAAATAAGCGTTTTATTTTTACCTTTTCATCTTCATTTCACTTTTTGTTAAGCCTAAACCATAATAAACTGGATTTACTGTAATATTGTAAATGATTTTTTTCGTATATAGTAAATTAATGGTAAACCTTGATGAGTTTATCAACGTGATTAACAGAAATGAATACATTAAAAGGTTGAAAAGACTTAATTCCCAATTCACCAAAAAATCAACACCTAAATCATTGAGTTCACCCAATTGTGTTAACCAAGTCAATGTGTATTTAAAAGAGCACCAATCTACATTTAAATGTACCGCTTGAACCAAAAGATTTGAACCCATTTAGAGCCAACGAGTAACAATTGATTCCTCTATTTTGTGACTTTATTATGTAAATGTTATTCACTTGGTCAAAGTAATTTACATCAACTAATCAACCCACAAGATTAAATGAATACCGGAGTAGAGATGAAATTGAATATCAAATGATCAATTACCATACAGATTATCAAAAAGAGATACTTCACAATTACTTAATTCAATGGGAAAGTGCACAATTAATGTAAAACATAACCATATTAAAAGATGAACCGTAATTGACTTAGATTGAATGGTTATGGCAGCAGCTTGTATTTGAGCTAGATTAATATAAATTAATTTGGCTAATGTTGATTAAAATGTTTCTGATTGCATTTCCAGTGCCTTTAAAATCAGCTGAGATTTGGATGTAAGATCAACTCTGAGTTTCCCGGTTGGTGAAAGGTGAAATCAACATTCAAATAATAAAATATTAATGATTAAACAATGTCAACAATGAAAACTGGAAATGCTGAAAAACCAGAATCATAAGACTACTCTTACAAGTCTAATATTAGTGTTGACCAAATTTAACAGCTTTTCAACAAGCCACTAATCATAATCAAGGAAATGCCATTTTAATATGTTAACCCCTACTGATTAATATTGGTTAACCTTTAAATCAATTACAATAAAGTTAGGTTCATTGGTTAAACATGAATGAAAAAGGTAAAGGCGATGTTTTTTGAGATGAAAAAACGCAATTCATTGAACAATCACTTACAGCCAACCCAAGCAAATTGATTAATATTAATGTCATTAGATTAGTAAAATCAAAATTAATATTTCCTTTGGATTTCCTGGTTTAATCATCAAACCAGTAAAATGTAAAGGTTGACAGTTAAGCTTATAAGCCTTAAGCCTCAACTCTACATCAATGGGTAATTTGGTTGAATATCAGATTTGCTTCATTCCTATTTTGTATCATCTTCATGTTAATCGTGTTAATCATGTAATATTGGATTGTAAATATGAAATAGTTTAAGCAAATTTGAATAGCAATTTAACCTTTAAATGGTTGAAATAAAGCAACATGAACAAAAAAACTGGTAACTCTTTAACCCATTTTTAAACCAGAAAATGTATTCAACTTCATTTTGACATTTACAATACATTGCACTGTCAAATCAATAAGTATTATTACAAATGTTAATCATCAATCGTGTTTAAAGGTCATTTGATTGTCCGATAATCAAATGATCTAATTGTATGTTAACACAGTTTAGGCATAAAAAGATTCTTATAATTGACTGACGATTAAGCGTATGTTGATTAATGAGAAGCTTTCAACGGACTAACAATTTGTTCACAATCAAGTGTAACTCAATCATAATGAACCTTTTTTTGTGTTGTAAAAGATGATTTGAATCATCAAAATCTGGTTCAAAAAAAGTCTAATCATTCAATCACAGTTTAAAACGGGTTAATTGATTAAGGTCTCAAGTAACTTCATATTCATAAGTTGAAGACAACATAAATTGCTGTTGGACAATTGATCATTCAAAATGATTAAAATGTCCAGTTAATAACCATACTGTTAGATGAGTAAAATATCACAAGACAATCAGTTTGGATGATTAAATTGTATCAAATTTTATTCAGTTTTCAGTATAAACTGAAAATATTTTAGTTTCCATTTTTTTGGCTGACATTAGCTTTGGATACGTGCTTTGTAATTGTGATTAATTGTTGTAATCGCATTAAATAGCTTGAAACTTGCAACATTTAAATTGTTACAATAGCTTGCAATCAAAGTCACTAATGGTTGCTGACATTACCAGCTAATATTAAAATTGCCCTTCACTATTAACATTAACTTTCGCTATTGTTATTGTAAATTTATTGAAATATTTTTCAGTTAATCGTCCAGATTAATCTTAAAAATACCATTTTATACCTTTAAGGTATTAATTGGAGATTTTGTTAATACTTTTTTGTTCATAATAATCATCATCATTATAATTATCAGCAATATTTGGGTTCTCATCCATTTACCAAGTCGTTTGTTGTTCAATCCTTTAGATTCACATTTCCTTTTCCCTCTCGTTATTAACAATTATTATTAAATTAATAATAATTGTACACTCCTTTGATTATTGATTCACATCTACATCACATGGCAATTGAATAGTGTAATTGAACTGAGGCTGATTAAATTAGCTAATTTTGTTTTCTTCTTAATCATTATATCAACATTTCAAGTCTCTTGTCTTCTAGTCCTGATACTAGTCTTGCTGTTTATAATAATTTATCAATTTAAGCTTCCATTCTTGATTCCACTGATCATTATCATAATTGTGAGTTATAATTCAATTGATACAATTGAGTCAGAGTCAGGTAAGTTGACCTGAATTTGAAGACAATACCAAGAAAACCCAAAATTATCTTATGACCAAAAAGGCAACTTTAAATCTTTGTCAACCAATTATCCAAAGTGAATCACTTGAAAATCACAATCAATCCTTATTGCCAATTTAATGATAATGGTAAATTGGATTTAGATTTGGAATAGCGCTTTATATTTGATCATTCAACAGGATTGAAGACAATTGAGGTTATCACTGGGAATTAATCGATTCCAATACACGTTCAACCCAATTAATTAAGATGGCATGATTACTTTCTCCGCATTAACCAAATTTATCAACCAGATTTACAAGCCAATCAAAACATGGTCAACCCAAACCAAGTCCAGAAGCAAATGTCGAAAGCTGAAAAATAATAATGAAAAAAAAATTATAATTAAAATTGTGAACAGTTAATCGTTGTGATTATAAGTGATGATTAGCATGTTAATTAAAGATTATCAGATGTGAAAGTTAATCAACAAGAAAAGGGGAAAAGTTGAGAAAGAAAATAGATAATCATTATTTGGTTAAGAGAAAGGATTGAAGCTCGTGATTGATTTAATCATCATCGTCAACAATGTAATTAACAAAACAACATGAACACCGAAAAAGCCATTTTTTATACACAAACAAAAAGGTGTTCAGTGTTGCATTGTTGATTGTGTTTAAGAGTTAATCAAGTCAATATTTTAATATTAAACTGAAAGTGATGTAGTGATGATGAGTAATGAACAAAACAAAAACAAAACAAATGAAAGCGAATGGCTGATGAATTGAATGTTGCTGATGATGATGGTAAAGATGATGCTGATGATGCTCATGTTTCATTTTAACAGCTACTGGTGATGAAAGTTAAATAAAGTTTCACGAAAATTAAACCTTAAAACTCGTGGATCCTATTTCTGAACATTATCATTTTTATTATTTCAACGTAATTTAGTTGTGTGTGCGTTGTGTATGGCTTGACTCAATGAATGCTAATAACTCAATTGGATATGAAAAAAAGTAAAGACGGCCACAATCATTAAGTTTACCTTTCATTTATTGAGCCATCAACATCAACATGTTTCGCATTTTGGGTTCCTCTTGATCCTGGTAAGAGATTCACTTTCATCTTGCACTTCCTCAACTCTTTTTTTGTCTTTATCTGTAATAATGATGATTAAAAAATTAACGTTAAAAACAATTAACAAAATCTTACCTTACCATTACTCTTACCTGATTAAATTAGTAAAAAAAGGGCTTGGAAGTGTTATAGAAAGGAAAAGATATGATCCAATAAACAACGCCATGTATCTCTTGTTTATTAAGAGATCAACATTTTCTTGAATTGATATCATTACATTTAATTGTAATAATTGTTATAATTGTGATGTAGTCGATGAGATAATCGCTCCATTTGATCAATATCATGTTGAAGATAACAGGCAATTTGAAAGTATAGTTTACCAAAAGTAAAACGTGTTGAGGTTAACTCCTAACGTGTTACTGCAGCTCGGCTTCTATAAATCATTCCAAGAACCATACAACCCTTTTAACACACAATCTATTGATTTTTGATTAACATAGTTGTAAGTTGTTAACATTTATTGGGTATAATAACAATAAATCACGTATAAAGTTGAAACCATCAAGATTATTTTCACTTAACAAGAAAACTGAACTGTACAAAAGGGTAAAAGAAAGCTTCTTTGTTTTAAAATCATATGAGCCAACCGCTTAAATGTGCATCTTTAAGACACTTGGTGTCGCCATTTATTATGTTTTTAATTGTCACGCCAGAAAAAACAAAATCATAAATTACTGATTAATTAGAAGAAGATTGAGAATTGTGCCTTCATGACTGAACATCGTTGAACTCGACATTGATGAATACAACCCTGAACCTTTCCAGCTGCTTTCGACTCGAAAAGCAGATTCGTAAAGATATTATAATCGAGTTACTTCAATTGGTCGATTGATCTATCCACTTTGGTATCTTGCATACTGTTGTGATGACTTTGAGATTCCTAAATTATGGAGATTTTTTGACTGGACAAGTCGATGTACGAATGTAATGGATGAATTCCTCAAGAAACAAAGTCCATTGAATATCCGGTGAGCTCATTTGGTCAGACCAATTAACTCTTGTTTTCACTGTGAGTCGACTTGTTTTGGATTCAATTTTAATTGAAACGATTGTTTTAATCAACTGGTTCCAACTATCAATCAATCGTTATGAAGGAGGAAAGTGAACCATTCAAGATTGACCTCTCCACATGTTCACGTATCAACTAACAATATAATGCTCATAATAAATGACCATTTCCATCTGACTCCAATTAACTCAACCTTTTCATTTGGCTTGTTTATTTGTGCGCCATTTTACAGCTATCTATTACAAATATTGTTACATTTTTAACGTTATTGTTTCCCGTTAAACAACAACAATGGCAATCAAGAAACAATTTAAACAGCTTCACCAATCAACAAAGATCAAATTAAACTTTACTTTTATTGATGCTTTTCAAATTACATCAGTTTTCTTGGCCAACATTAACCTCAACTGCTAACTTAAAAATGGCCAAAACCAATTAACAAAAATTGACCATCGATACAATTAGAGTGAACTGTTTAAAGTAAAATGTAAAATGATCAACAACAAACCTATTTACATGATTAAATTTAACATGATTGTCATTATAAATGGAACCATTTACATTCAAAATTGAATGTTTATCAAACTGTTGAAAGTGTACACTCTTTATGGCCTTACAATTAAACATAAAATATCTAATTGATGTTAACCAGAAAACGTTAATTGCTGCAATATTTTGTTCAATAATAAAAATTCAATCCCTTGAAATGTACACAAAAGCAAATAAATAACAAAATTATCACCCTTAAGCTAATTACATTTCATTCAATCGTGAGGTGAAAGTTGAATAGATGTTAATACAGAATGGTTTTGCCAATTAAAAGCTTATTACCATTAACAATCATCATCTTCATCGCTATTAAATATACCATTTGATTATCATAAATATTAACACTAAAAAAAGTAAACATTTAAAAACAATGAGCCTTAACCATTGACATTTGCTGATTACTGTTATTGCTACCGAAGCAACAAGCAAGCACAACCATTAAGGTCAAAATAATGGTTACTGTTGTAATCTAATTTGATTGTTGAAAAGTCAGCTCATCTTTGATGATTAAAAAAGGTGTTTTAAGTCAATGATTAAGGATATTTTTGAATTAAACAGATGAAACTGATTAAAACCATCATCTGAATCTACACCAGCATCATCAACATCATTTTAAGATCACTTCAGGCCTAACCAATTGTAAACCAAATGAAGCTTAAGTAATCAATCAAGGACAACAACATTGATCAATGTTGTTGATAGATCAAATTGTTGAAATTTAAAGATCAAAATCACTGTCAGAAAAGCGAAATCAGTTAATCACAAATGTAAATGTTATGCTTAAAAGCTTGTACAACTGTTGATTCACCAGTCAATCCATCTATTTAATTTAATAACAATTTGATCTGATTTGTACATTAAAATGAATCAACCTACGATCAAACGATGAGTTTATAAAGCCTGAGGAGTTAAACTGTAGTATTGAACAGCGATCAAGGTGTGTCTTAACAGTCTTACAACTAAGCTAATCTATCAATAAAATATATAAAAAAGGTATATTTATTTATGTTATATTTAGATTGATTTTTTGCCTTTTATTTATTCTTCTTTTTCCTTTTATTTTGATTTTCTTGTTTCTTGTTCCTTCTTTCCTTCTTTCTGTATTAAACGGTTATCGATAATCAAATGTTTAACTACTGATCATTATGTACTATTTTCATGATGATGATGATGTGTGATTCATTCAAATGATGTTCCAATCAACCCCTCAAGCTGCAAGTGTTTGCTCCAAGTGTAGTAATAATCATAATATGAACACATTAAAGGAGTGTGTAAATGAACCAGCAGAACTGCTGGACTGTCCATTATTAGATTTGAACCAGTGTTTAATCCTAAATCACAGAGATGTCATGATTGAGTTGATTGAAATCCAATAGAGATTTATGTTTGACTCCTAAAATCTTGATCCAAATATGATTCTCTTGGCCTCCACTCGGTTTGATTTTGACATTTTGCAAGTTCATCCATTCCTCCAGTCAAGTTCAGCGATTTCCAGTCAAAAATTGAATGAATCCGGTTGCATTAGACATCAATAGTTGTTGGTGAAAGGTTAGTTGATTAACTTGGACATGGTAAACCAAGGGTTGTTGCTTCGTACTAAATGGGTTAGTTTCAATTTTAACCAATTTTATTGACAGTACCATTTAAACTGGGCCAAATTGAATCTGAAATAGGATGAAGAGCAAAATGTTAGATCATGTTTATTACTGTTTATCACTGAAAGGAAGATGAAATTCATCTTCTCTATAAAATCAACCAACATTACCTTTTACATTTTGGGTTCATTGTTTTTTAATAAATACACACATATAATACATAAATTGTAAGGTTAGTTAATAAATGATTAGCTAACTCTCACATAAACACACACCTAAATGTTTCCAAAAGTGAAGTTCAAAGGCGTTTATTTGAACGCACAAAATAATTAATTTGTAGTTAACTTATTTGAGCAAAAGGTGGCTAAATTGGTCTACAATTTAATCTCATTTGAAAACAATTAATCAACCATGTATTGCCCGATCTAGATTTGATGGTGAGTAGCAAGAAAACTAAGGCTTAAATTAAACACCAGTAAATTGTTTAGTTAGCTGATTACAGACCTAACAAGGTGAATATTTTCAGCAAACAACTGAAAATCAAGAATTAAATCATTCCAAGAGGCTAAATCTGTCCATTAATGATTAAAAAATGTTGACTAAACAAGATTACTGAATTTTGGTTGCTTTTATTTGAACTATTCAAGTGTCATTGACTCTCATTGATTATGACAACATCAACAATGGAAAGTAATTTCACTTAGCAGTATTGATTGTCTCAGGCTAATCGGCCTAATACCTAATTAACCCACTAATTGGGCAGATTTTGAGCCCTCATCACCCTCATAATCATCATGACTTCTCATAAATTTAAAGGCAATCAAATGCTGAAAGCAATTGATAAAATGTTTCAGTTTCCATCCTTAAATTTGCTCTTCTTTCGTTTCGAGTTGGCGATAGTTTTTTTGTTTTCTCATTTTTCCACTTCTAACTTGACACGATGAAGTGATGAGGATGAGAATGATAAAGATTAAACAATTGGCATCCTCAGGGTAAAAGATTATCACATTGTTTGTGAGAGAAATTTCAAGGTTCACACATAAATGTTTTCCCTTAAGGTGATGGTCCACATTGAAACTTAATCTTGAGTTTGTTTAATTCACTTGAAATTTCCTTTTCCACTTTGAATCAATGTGATGATAATATTAATAATCATCATTGTCACCATTAACTATTCTTATCACATTACAGGTGAGATTTAGGATGGCGTTAGAAAAATAAAGATTGAACTTCATCTGAAGGGTGTTTCAAGCAAGTTGTCACAAAATCAAAAACCTAAATTAACATTATTGCCTATAGATGAACGCACAATTAGCTAATAAATACAAGAAAATAACATCTATTGAGTCACTTCTAATATCTAATTTGATATAATTTAATTCAATTTAAACGAGAGTCGAAACTTGGTTGAAACACCCTTAACATTGAAACAACCAGAATGAATGTAAAGTCAATAGAGAGTCAATGTCAAGTTCACTTGAACAAAAAGATTCATTCAACTGTAATTGTCCATTTACAACAATTACAATTTAATATATAGGCTTGATTAAGGTCAACTGATACCTATTTAATTATTGGTTAACCATTCATATGTAAGCCTAATGACTACTATCATGAATCGTTTTTTTTGAATCTCTATACTTTTTTTGTTTGACTTACCTTTCATTGGGTTTAACATTTGTTGCATGGGTCAAAACTATTGATAAATAATGTTGAATTGTAGGTTTAATCAAGTTAAGGTTAGCTGAAGATTTCCAAAGGCAGATGATTTGAATAGCATGGTGATGATGAACGGGTAAGTCTTTGAATAGATGAAGAAGGGTAAGATTAAGAAGTAGGAAGTTTGTTGGCAAAAAAAGATTTTAAAAGATTTACTTGGTCAATTGCCATAATAACAATTAATAATAGCAATGATAATAACCATAAAATGATTAAGGTTTTTCAAAGGTCAATAGATATTCAAAATAACAATCTCAATGCCAAGGTTAGCAAAATTTGAAATTAACGGTCAAAAGGGTTCATACTCTAATTTACAAAGTGACTATTATTTATTCAAATGAATTTGATTGAGTTCACGTTGTTAATTTTATTTCTATCATGGAGATCAACAAGATCTGTAGATCAGAATCGTATTTAATTAAAATTCACAATATAAACTAAAAATAAATTAAAAACTCTCAACTCTTTGATTACTATGCAGTCCCTTAAATCAGACGATAACCGTTAACAAAAACAAAAGTCATACGAATAAGATTTTTTGGCTTATGTTAGTGTCTTCAGTTGTTTTCATTTGGTTTATTTTTATCTCATCTGTTTATTAATTATTTTTCAAGTCGTAATTATTTCTTGCAATTATTGAGTTGTTGATTAATTTTATCTTTGTGTCAATTTATTTAAAGATGTTTGCTGACAATCGTTTGGCTTGATTTTTGTTTTCCTTGGTTAACAATGATGACTTTGGGTTTTCTGGTTAACTGTTTGCTTCTCCTCGCCACTTTGAGATTTGGTTGTCCTAGGTTCATTTCCCTTCTTAATGTTGATGTTAATATTTGAGACAAAAATTTAACTACAAGTCAATGGTTGATTTAATCAACAGAGGGAAACGCGTTAATTTAATCAAAGAGGAAATGTCAACCATGTTTATGCTGATAATCAAATAACGACAATTTAAAGTCAAATGCTGTTGACTGACAACCAAAAAGTACATTCTAAATGATGCCAATCATTGGTGATGGTAATGATGAGGCTGATGATCTGCAATAACTTATATGTTTCATCATGGTGAAAAAAATTTGACGAGAGAAGCAAAAAAAATGAGAAATTTTTTGCATCTCCATCTTTCTCTTTCTTGAAAACCTATTCGTCAAGTTGGTTAAAGATTTGAAGATGTCTCTTGGCTCTTGTAATATATTCAAAATGATGATGATAACCATAAAGATTTGGCTAACTGAGCTACAATCAATGAACAAGCTTAACTGTGAAAGCCAGAAAATACCAAGAAAGTACATTTTTTTGTCAATTTTTTGTGATTCTTTGAGGCTCAAGATCAAAAAGCTGGATTCAAGGGAAACCTCAAGCAGTCATTTTTGCGGGTTAACAAGAAACAAACAAAAAACTGGTAAATTTAGATTCAAATTAAAGCTGTTGAAATGGTATTTTCATCACTGGATTCATTGAATATTGATTAGATATCTTTGACATTGAGGCATAACTTCAAGAGGATATTGGACGCTTCAAGCTTCTTTTATCCTGGAACCTATCGACTTACCTGATACCCTGAATAACGATGATTGAATCTATCTCACCGTTAAGCTCAACAGTCAAATAAAGCATCCAATTGATGCTTTAATTTGGTTTTGATTCCTGTTGCATTACATAAGACAGTTTATTGTCAGATTTAAACATCTTTCCATGTTTACCATCCTTAATAACCTTTCAAGGTGATGTTCATTATCATCATCACTTGCAATCATTTACCTGTACATCTTTTTGTGTATATGTTGATGTTGATGAGAAGGAAGAAGAAAATAAGAGTTTTCTTTCTTTCTCAATGGTATTTTTCATGACTATGATCAACATAAGTGCCGTAATAATAACATATATATAGCCACACAATAGATTAAAAGTAATAGAATGATAATGATGATGAACATGGAGGTAAGATTATTTTCGTGATGGGAAAAGATGATGATAAAGCTGGATAAAGAGAAGAGAAATATTTTCTTAAGAAGTTGTCTAACTTGTTAACAACAGTGAATCAAAGTTAACAGAGAAACCTGTTAACCTAAGGAAAAAAAATGTGAACATAATTTGACCCTAAATATTGATGATAACAAGTTTTGGCCATCATCTTCATCTCTGTGTATTAACTTTCATCTGGATAATGACCATCTTAAATATCTAAAAATTGATTGATATTTTATCATCAGAAGCATCATCAACAACAACCGAACCACCAACAAAAGCAACAACCAGACAACCATGTTTTGGCATTTAAACGCAAAGAAAAGATGAAATACGATGAGATTTACAAACCAATTTTTCCCTCTCATGGTAAAATAAACATGGCAATATCTTGAATTACAGCTAATAACCCAAAAAATGATTTACAACAGATTGAATTAATCTATCCAGTTATTAGACTAATTAGCTTTTCCAATCACAATTTCCAGTTTCCAGTGCCAATAAAAGTATTAACCTTAAACCTTGGGATGCAACTTTAACCTTATTTGTGTTGTTATCTGTAATAAACATTGCAAAGTCCATCTAAAATGCCCATTTTAAGGTGACTTACATAAGATTCAAGTTGATTATGTCAAAGCATGGAGAGGAAAAGATGATTTATTGATGCTAAAAGCAAATCAAGTTGAATCAATTGGATTGTTAATGTTTTTTTGAGGTAATGAAAACAAAGTGAAACCATTGATGAACCACAAGTTGCCATTCAAGTTGACTTAAAATTCTTGTCAACATGCGATTTCACGAACCATGTGAAACTGCCAATGATTAACCATTGAAGCCACCAAAATAACGGTTCCTTCCTCTTGACTGTCCTCAAAAATGGAGACAAGAAAATGAATGTTTACCATGAATGATGAGTCTAATTTTATGGCTACTTAAATTTGTGAATATTTTGGAGCACAAATTTCATGAAAACTTGGTTCATCATTGTTATCATTTTAAGTTGATATGAAATGAAAATTTTAACGTTTTTACCCTTTTTTTTATTACTGTCAAGGTTTGCGTGGACAAAATTGGCAAAATTTTACAACCAAACAAAGGGTCAATGAGAAGGCAAAAATATCTCCAAAACATGATGATGATGATACATATAAGGTCTTTGCCTTTCACTCACAATACAATGTAAACATGTTCAATGGTCAACTCACTGCATACCTGTTAACCATAACTGTGCCCATAATTGTGCTTCTAACTGTAATCTAATGTAATCACAGTGAATTGGATTGTTTGGGAAAAGCAAAAAAAGCTTCCGGACTTGAATATATTGAATCTTAAATGGGTTTATTATGTTGATCAAAAACCATTTGTTCATCTTGTTACTTTGCCTTGTAAACCTTTTTTAAATGTCTTCAATGTGTCCAACTGTGATTTAATCAATCGCCTACTCAATTAAATCTAATTACAAAACTAATTGACACAAACAGTAGTAAAAAAAGTGAACCCAAATTAGCATTATAAAGCGATAAACATCAAGACCTGAGTTGTCAGTGAATCGTTTTGTATCATCAAAGAAATGTGAATTTACAAATTGGAAATATTGATTAGCTTGAAAAATCATTAATACTCAACGTCTCAATACAACTGTTCAGTGACATTGCTTTTAATCCTGTAAACTGGTTAACTTTGGGTTAACCGTTACTGGCCATCAGGAAGTTGCTCGCAATCAAAATGGTAAAATTTGATTAATAATCAATTTTCAATTGTGAAGTCAATTTGAAATTTTATATCTTGAATGGGAAAACAATACCAACAATGATTAACCATTTATCGTTCATGTTTAAACATCATTTTACTGGTTTGAATTAACACTGAGTTTTTCCACCATTAAACATATTAATGGAAACAAGTTGAAAGCTTTCTTAATGTTCATGACAGTGAATTGTTCAATTGTTTCAAACGATTTAAACTGGCGAGTATAAAGGGTTTCATGATGACTATCAACATTTGTATGATAATCAAGTAAACACACAAGTTATTGTTAAATTTGGGTTAACAATTTTACATATAAAAACAAATGGGTTTCAATGGAACACACAATATTCGCTAATCAAGCAAACAAATCAAGATTAGCCAACAATTAGTGATTAATAATTGCACACAACAATCAACATTTTTCACCACGAAATTTGATGGCACAAAATAAGTCAAGGCTTAAAACTTAGAGAAAGCATAAAAGGTTTAGTGAAAAAGAAGTCGCTTTAGATGATATTTAGCTGATGAATGTAAATCGATTGTTGATAAATTGTTGCTAAATGGTTATAGTAGAGCGTGATTAATAAACACGATTACAGATTGAAATTGAGTTGATTAACTTTTCGATTTAACCATGATTGGGTGATCAAATCGATTACCATTTCAATTGATCTCTATCCCAATCACAATGGAAACCTTTGAAAACTAAATCATTGTTACACATCTTGTTGAGTTTTGCTGCTATTTTTTCAAATTGATTTAAGCTGAACTCCTGATTTAAATGATTATTTGTTGATTGTGCTTTTGAAAATGACATTTTTGTGCTCAATTTATTAATAAAATTTAGAAATGGTTAATTGAAATGAATTTAATGTTGAGCAAATTATAATAATGAGGCCTTTTTATTTTACCATTTCCCTCAGTTAACCAGATTTTTGTTTTTTCAATCAACTCTTTTCACTTCACAGTTGGACAAGTCAAGTTTAAATTGTTACTTTTAACCAGTTTTAACATCATTTCACCATTATCATCCTCATCAACAGCCTGATCGGATGGTCAATATATTAAGGTGTAGCATGAATGAATTCATTTACAGGTAAATATTTTACTCTTTTCTGGTAACAATCCAATCATTTGTTGGTGCATTGAAAATGGGCGAAGCTCAATTGATATATTGATGTACAATCGATTGTACAACGTTAATGGCCGTTAAAAATGTACCAATCTAATCATCATCTTGTTGGCTACTTAATCCTTATAATCAACATCATCCTAATAATCATTTAGCTTTCACTTAAAATGATAATCTTGCTTTTGGTAGCAAAATGTATATCATTGAAAAACCGAGAGTCGCTCCTCTATATTGTTTCCCATTTCATGTCTTTAAATATAATTTTAATTGCTAAGTCAACTAATTAAATTTTTATATTTCTCTCCTTAATCATTGCTGAATTCAATTTCACTCAATAAATTACTGGCTCTAATTGTCTTTAAATTTGTTTGAATAAACAATGAAATAGCCCGCGTTTACTTTTCACATTAGTCATTGTCTTTTGGGTTATCCAATCAGATTGGAAGGTTAGCTTATTTTCCTCGAGACCCAAAAGACACCATATTGTTACCATTTTGTTGCTTTTGTTTTATTTTTAAGAGCAACTTTGTTCTTTAATCAACTTTATAATTGGTATTATTAATTATTAGTTGTTTTTATGTGAACCTGTTCTCAATGTGAACTGTACAATAAGGTTGATTGTAGGTGGTTAATTGTGATTGTTTTAATTAATTGGATGCATCTAATTTTCCCATCATCTGTGCTGCTCTCTTGTTTATGTTTTTGGTTTCCCGCTTATTTATACACCGACCACTTTTTTTATACATTTTCATTTAACTATTTGGTGCTTTTCAAATGTTCATCTTTTGTATTCATCAATTTATTCAATTTTTACCTCATCATGACCAGATTAACAGCGAGATAATAAAAATCAATTAGAAGGATAGAAAGTACAAAAATAAAAATCACCTTCATAACCATCATTAACTTTCAATAATATTCAACTCACATTTCAAAGGAAAAGTGTATTACATGATCTGAGTTTGAGATCGACAACAAATGTTGAGAATCTTGGTCTTCTTCTGTATCTAATTACATCTTTAATTATCAAACCCAAACCAACACAAATAAACAACAAAATATGCAGAGAATTGGTAATCAATACTTGGTTATAATTGGTGGTAAACATGAACTTGAAGATGAATTATGAGATTCAGAAAGCTATCAAGTTTAATCTCTTAAACACGCCAATGTATTTCTAATGAACCCAGAATCGGGAAAACCTTGACGCAACCGGTTTCCATTTTTCCGTTTCCGTTCAGCAGAAAAATTTCACCCCAAAAAATGGAGTTAAAAACTTCAACCCGTCAAACACTGGAAGCTGTCTGTTGCTAATACATCATGTATTCCTGGTTTCAAGGTTATTTCATCAAATTTCCGTGCCCAACTGATTGATAACTTTATTTGCAAATTGAACCTGTTTGATTAATTTCAAGATGACAAAATGAATGCATAAAAGCCTAACCAAGTAATTGGTGGTAATTTTTTTAAATTATTGGGTTGCCTGTTTTATTTTGTATCAAAATTTTGGTGAGAAAAAAAGAGCGACAAAAAAGATTCAAGCACAAATCTCTCAGCCTGTTTTCCTTCGTTTCCTTCAACTGGTGATTGCAAACATGATGATAACCACAATCTCTTGACTGTTTACATTATTAATTCAATATTATAATGATGAAGAGGACACTGAATTTATCTTGTGGCTCTTTTGTTGCCATTTGATTAAATTGTAGGGTTGGTTAGATGACTCTTGTCCTTTTATGCTGTTGACCTGGAACACTTTGGATGCCTTTAAACAAAATCAACATGATATCTGTTATTAACCATGTGCTCTGTCAAATGTCACTAGGCCAGTAGGTAAAGTCAGCAATTACAGTTTAATTGTCATGAAAAGAAGCCATAATAAGAAAAAAGATTGAGCAAAAAGGAGATGAAAAAGCCAAATGATAAAGGATTGAATGATCACTGGTGATTAAACAATTAGATTTCCCTTAAATTCCTACTCATTTTGGTCTGGATAATATGAAGTAAATTGCTGTTTCAAATAAGATTTAAATTTTAACTCCAAATTGCTGTACAGTAGGTTAACCATGGCCAGATTGATTCATGTTACTTTCACAACACACATTTTAAAAAAGATATTTGATATTCGGTCAAAAAGACTTTAAACAATGAACTTCAATCAACTCAAAATCAAAGTTGATCAAGGTTTCATGAACTTTCATCAATAAGTCTATCAATATCACTTTTACTTTTAATCACCAGTTAACATAACCATTTTCAATACTTCAAGAGGATTCCAAGCACTCATCATAACCCATTGAATTGAGTGTATAACCCTGAGTAAAGGATAGGAGCTTATCGAGAACCATTCATGTTACAAGTGTATGTAAGCAGAACAAGAAAATCAGATAAAGCTGAGGAAGAAATTCAAAAATTTGGACCAACTTAACCATAATTGAAAGCAATTTTTTCGTGTTTAGCCCTTTTTTTTTGGTGTGTTTCCAGTTATTATTATCATTTATTTGTATAATTGCAATCAAAAAGACAGGATAATCATCCTGATCAACGATAATGAACATGAATGGATGGATAGAATCAAATTGGTAAACATTCCCCACTTCTGGTTATCTTAATTTCTTCTCATCTTACAGCATCAATTCGTCGGTTGTTAACAATATCATCATCCTTTATATTAAATTAAATCAGTAAAATCGTAGGTTGATTCATTGATTGTAGGCAGATGATCAAAATTCAACGTTCACTTTCAAAGTATCAAAACGAAACACTTGCTCTGCTTTCTTTCTCACATTTGAATTTACATTTACATGTATATTTACATGTTTAACTTCAACCAAATTGACCTTTTAATAGTTACAGTTAAATTGAATTAAACTGATTAGTCCATTTAAAACTGCTTATTGACATTAATGATTTCAAAATTCACTCCAATCGCAGTAATCATCAGTTTCAAAAATTCAAACCAAGCAACAGAAATGTAAGAAACGTTTGCTTTGATTAAAGCAAAGCAAATATGCAAACTTAGACTCAACCATTCCAACTCATCAGTTGATTTTACAATAAGATGATAAGTTGCCTTATCTGTAATGAAAACCTACAATTTAAGTCAATAATTAGCTGAATTATGAGATGATTAAATTATGACAAAATGAAAGTGTTTAATTTCAAGGCTTTAAAGCCTTGTATTGCCCTTGATCCAAGTGAATCAGTTGAAGCAACTTCAAACAGTTATGAATCAACTTGATTTGAAAGTCACTTCTTTAATTACAAATTGAATGTTAATTGGTTTGAGACTAAATTACGACTTTTATCAGCCCAACAATCAATAAACAAAACTTGGCTCAAACCATTTGCTAAGCTTATATTCAGAGGAAATGTTTATGTTGATATTTTTAGATCAACTAATTGTTTAGTTTTTCAATTGAAAATTTTCACAATTAGATGAATAAACCAATCCATACAATTGATAATCAAATAAGACTAATGATTATCTGAGCCTGAAAATTGTTTTCATGAAACAAAATACATTTAAATCAATGGATAATAGAAAAGTGATAAATCACATTCTCTATTCACATGTAAACACAATTGAATTGATTTAGTTAAATTGATTGATGATAATAATGAAAAACATAACGAGATGAGTTTAAACTGACCTGATTGTTGCTATAAAAACAACAATTAACATGATCTGTAAACTCATAGTTAAGACACTTTGATTATGAAAAGATATTGAAAAAAATATCAATATGAGTTACAACAATGAGAAGGCTTCAATGGTCAATACACAAATCAAGGTTAAAATGTGTTTAAAAATGAACACACAAATGATTAATTGTTGCCCACTCAAACAACGATACATACAATTGTATTCAATTAGATAATCTTGGTAGATTAATTGTGGTTTAGGATGTTTCGATCACAATAGCAATAATCATCTGAAAGAGTTGAAACCACACAAAATACAAACAAAAGACTAAACCCAAAAATTATTCAACAAGAGCTCAACTTAAAGTGAATTTACCAAAATTTTAAAAGACAACCAGAAAAGACATTTTGACAAAAATTAACCCAAAAGTAAACCAACAAATCAACCAAAAGTCAACCCAAAGTCACCATAAGTTAACCAAAAGTGTCAACTTTACTTGTTAACCAAGCATGTTGAAGCTTCAGTGTCGGTTGTTGGTGTTGGCGTTAATCAACAACCATCAGTATCACCATCATCAGAATGCTCATCACAGTCATCAACAGAGTCATCATGATTAGTATCAGCATAATCATGATTTTAAAACAGATTAAATTTCCTCCTGTGATCCACTAATGATGATTACATCTCACTTAACACTAAACTATGAAAAGTGAAGATGATGATAACAAAAATATGATTACTAGAGATTGAATTGGATTGTTTATTCAATTAAAATTGCAATTGAATTAGCCAGACAATCTAAAGACCAACACTTCTTCACTCCTTTCTTGCTAACATTTAATGGTTGAAAAGATGCCATTTTAACAGGGTTAATATGTAATATTTTAGGATATGGATTACCATTTGTATCCTGGAACAGCAAAAAAAAGCAAAAGAATCATAATCAAACAATCAAATGTAATTTGTGTTCAATTAACTTATTATTCTTACTATTATCATCATTATTGTATGTTAACTTTACAGCAACCATACTAATATCATCATTAATTTAACTAGAAGAGCTTAAAAACAAAGAGCAAAAAACGAGCTTAATCATGTTGTAGTGTTAATATTAGTTAATCACGATTAAGAGGCAAATTTTTCTGTGTCAATCACACAGTTACAATCATATTTGGATACAATTATAATTACCATATTTCTAGGTCTTGATCATAATTTAAGCTCAACCGTAAACCCAAATTAACCCGCAACGTTGAATCAGCATTTACAGTTTGTCAGTTGTTTCAGGCAAGGAAACCATTTTAACCCAAAAAAGCTAAGCTTCTGGTCCACATTGGGCAGCAATTAAATGCTAATCAAATTTACGCTTCAAAACTGTCAATGATCAATAAGTAAACATTTCAAAGTTAATGGTTAACCAAAAGCCAACCAGAAAGTTGACCATAAACCAGAAAAAAACCTCAAACTCAGACCATGAGTTTAACCAAAATCAAATTAGACTTTACATTCGTGATGTTCACGATTCTAATCATAAATTTGATAATCATCTTGACCATCTTCCACCTCCTCCTCCTCCTACTTTAAGGCCAGTCTAACCGTGATACAACCATTGATGTAGTTGGATATGAATTGTGTGATTACAGATGATCATGGTATTGTTTTGAATCAACAATTTATCTTAATCATACCTTTAATTAGTGAAAACTAGTTTTTCCCTTTTTTATGTATTTACTTTGTTTCTTTTGGTTTTGGTGTTAATAACACTGAATGTAATGTAGCAAAAAAAAGGGCAAAGTGTTTAGTTAGGTTTAATAACTGTTTGATTAGGTAAGAAAATTAACTAAATACAATATTTAGGTCGCAATTAGTTTTGACTGGGCAGCACATTAAAGGGCTTTAGGACAGTTATTTGGTTGTTTTTTTCTTCTTTGATCTTAAATTCATTTACATAACTCAGTGGTTGATAAATCAACTTATCAGCAATCGTTAAACTAGATAATGTGCCACATTTAACAGACACTGTTTAATCGTACAGTTAATATGCATTGTTATTGAGATTTTTAATAATTAAGTAACAATATAAATCTAAATAATTATGTTACAATTTACATTGTAATTTTCAAATGTTTCGAGCCACGACTCAATTCAATTGTAATAGGTCCATCAGTTTCATCTGATGACCTTTTTCGAGGTGAATTGAAATTTTTTATTTCTTCAATTTCAAGAGATTCTGATTGTAGGGATTCTAATTGAAGGGATTCTGATTGGAGAGATTCTGATTGGAGAGATTCTGATTGGAGAGATTCTGATTCTAGAGATTCTGATTCTAGAGCCACATTTGAACTTACTGGCTCAAGGCAAGCAGAAACAGCTTGATTTGTAATTTTGTTGTCACGTATATAATTGTTGACTGCATTTGAAATATGACCAGTACGAATTGAAATAGTCCGTTGACTAAACCCAGACTCAAACATTGTTGTAGCTGCTGTTGCTCTGAGGCCGTGGTTGCTGATGACACGATCATCAACTATGCCAGCTTCACCAAACATTTTCTTCAGCATAGAACCAATAGTATTTATACCAACAACTTGAAGTCCATATTTTGGTCCATCTTTACCAGAAATTGCTCTCCGGTATAAATTACCAGATTTTTCTGGTAACTTACTTATATACAGCTTTAAAAGCTTATAATACGAGTTTTTTGCTTGAGTATCAAACTGTTTGAGGCATTCTGACCGTATTTTTGAATGTTTTGTTGTTCCTTGATTAGTCTTCCTAACCAGCGGCCAAAATTCTACATAAAATTTACCTTCACCGTCAACTTTGAAATTGAATTGCTCTATTTGTAAGTTGTAATGTTCACTCCTGCCACGAAGGGCCAAAACCTTGCCATTATAAAAGAAAACGGCATTTAAAAGGCCTTGAGAGGTATCCATATTTAATACCCCAGAGGACCATAATTTAACTTCATCAGCCACTTCAATTACATCGGCTCTTTTCACCTCTAAACCAACACCTTTAGCTTTCAATGTTTTCAATTTAGCATCAACAACAGGCAAAACAGGTGAGTTTCTTGATAGGAAACTCGGTCCTTTGAAGCCTTTAGCTTTCATCAATCGGTAAAGAGCTGCAGCGATACATTTGATTGAAGTAGGTCCATACTCCTTTCCATCGCTAGCTCTGACTTCAACAATGAACTTTTTTACCCAATCATAACAATTTTCAATTTGAAGCTCAGCAACTGTGGATGGAGGTTTTTCATGGTCAGTTAATTTTTCACGATTACATGACCATTCAAACCATAAATTTTTCACCCAATCTTCATGCCGCTTAGTATTTTGAGGTTTAACCGATTCAACGAAATCAGAAATGTAACTATCAGAGACAGGGTCAGCAAATCGAGACATAATTGAAAAACTGAATATATTTATCAAAAAATTGCACAAGAAACTGAATAACAAGAAAACTGAATAACAAGAAAACTGAATAACAAGAAAAACAAAAATATGAACAAAATCAAGATACAATTTAAAACAATGTGAAGACTTCTTGTCAGAGAAACTTCCGTCACTACTTCTTCCTTTTCTCTATCTTCCCTCTCTCTATCTTCCCTCTCTCTATCTTCCCTCTCTCTATCTTCCCTCTCTCTATCTTCCCTCTCTCTATCTTCCCTCTCTTCTTCTTCCCTCTCTCTATCTTCCCTATCTCTATCTTCCC